GAGTGTTTTGTTTTGTTTTTTAAAACAAAAGTGAATAGAGGGAAATACTGTTAACTGATGGTACTATGGATAGTTGATGCTGAATGTAAATAATAAAATATTTGTTCAAGAACAGATTTTGTCAATAGTGAGTAATTGTTATCTATTTGTGACTGTCACAATTGTAAAAGTAGACATTTTCTAACAAAAACAGGGGAGTCTATAAACAGAGGACCCTAGGACCATCATGGGAGACGAGCACAAGCAGAATGCAGGACCTTATCCAGAGAAGCAACAACGCCAGAGAAGGAGGCAGAAATGGGGTCATGGAGATGGGGAGCGGCTGAGGACTCTGGATTCATGGGAAGAGCGGGACTAAGAACTGGTGGCCAGGAGGCAGACTTGCAGAATGTGCCCTTTGGTGGTGTAAATTATTATATATGCCTGAGTGTTTGGGGAAAAAAAAAAGAGCTAAAATGAATAGAGAGAAATACTGTTAACTGATGGTACATGGAGGGAATTATAATCATTGTAAAGAAACAAGGTGTATGATTTGTTGAATGTAAAACTGATGATCTGCCCTGTAAACCGTCACTCAATCCACAATAAAAACCTTAAAATAAATAAATAAATATGCCTGTGTCTCTGAATGATCCCTCAAATAACTACCCACCAAATTAAATCTTCTAAATATCCACCTAGGAAAGACATATGTTTAAAATGTTGGGAAATCACCCACCATCCTAACTAATGACCTAGTACAGTTAAATGAGTAAAATGTAAACTTCTATTATTTCTAAATGTTATTATTTAAGTAGGTATATAACAAAGGTGTGGCCACTGTGGGATAAAGCACTGGAACACAAGTCAGTTTAAACTGCAAAGTTGGTGGTTTAAATTCACTAGCCACTCCTTTGGAAACCCTATACAGGGTCGCTATGAGACTCCATGGCATTTAACAACAGCAACAACAATTATAATTATAATGATAGTTTCTAACTTAAAAGATTTCTAGTACCAATGGCTGTAAATGCCGTTTAACTGTCCTTGAGATAATCATTCAAAAACTGCTATCTTATAGCAATTGTTTTTTTTTTAAAGTGAACACACATATAGATACATGAAAAACTATAGACTATTTTGGGGCTAAAAAAACTTAAAAAAAACAAAAAAAACAAAAAACCCTCAGGCTATACAACAAACCAGCTTTGAAAAAAAATCCCATAGAAGTAAAATATTTTCATTTGAGAAAGACATGCAAGCTGTTCTGTATGTAATACACTGTCAAATGGAATTTTTTTTTTTTTTTAAAGGAAACACAACACACATACATGCACACACGAGGGATGAAAAAGACCACAGTTTTTTAAATGATAAGCTGTAGAACGTGTCATCAGAACAAACCCATACCCTCTAGGTCATGTCTAGGAAATAAGCATTATCCAATTTTTGTATGATTAAGAGCTCCATGTTTACTAAAAAATCCACATTTGAGGAATTTCAGCAAGAAATACCCAAAACATTCAACATCAAATAAAGACTCATACTGCCAATAATGAGGTTTGAGATAGCTTCCAATTGAGTTTCAAACCTATTTCATTCCAATCCCTCAGTCTCAAGAAAATGGTGGGTAATAGGAGAATAGCTTAATAAATTTTGCTCTATATTATGATAAACATTCAACATATACCTGTTTAGTGCACAACTAAGCAGCAACTAAATCGAGGCAACAGTAGACAATACAGGCAAAAAAGTATCTCTGAAGAAAAATGACTATGAACCAGAGACCTCCTAGTATTATCACCTAAAAAAGCAAAAGGAACAGGCACACCATACTCTACGGATTTTCTCTTTAGAAATTAAAACAAGATTTGTAGACATGTTGTGCGTACTGGGTTAAGATCTTAACTGAAGACTTCAAGGTTAAAGATAAAAGAAATAACATCAGTCCTAAAAGGAAACTTGAACTCACTTTACAAAGGCTATGTATCCCAGCTAAAGACCAAATACTTGCTGTCCTAGCAGGGAAGAATAATCAGCAAATTAACTAATCAGGGTTCGGTTTACACTCATACTATGAAAGTTAATCATTTTATTTTTAAATTGGTAAATCATTCAAGATTAGTACTCAGAAATAATTGTTTGCTATTCCACTACTTTAAGAGAACTTTAAAAAGTTCTTGGAAAAATGGAATAAAAATAAAAATACATACTTTATTTCTTAATATCAGCTCCATCAAGGTCAAGTCTCTTTTGTGAGTGATAACAGCCATTTAGTCCATCCTTAAAGAACTGAGAGTCCTGGGAGTTAACCACGTCAAAGCAGTCTTTTTTTTTACACTAGTAACTAAAGGAATTTTTAAGATTAGGAATCAAAAAAGAGGTCAGAAGAGGCCAAATCAAGACTGTAAGGTGGATGCTTCAACTTTTCCCACTGAAGCTTTTGCAAAACTGCCCTTGTTTGATGAGAAGAGTGAGAAGGAGTACTATTGTGCTGGAGAAGGACTCTGGTGAAGATTTCCTGGTTGTTTTTCTGTTCAAGCTTTGGCTAACTTTCTCAAAACTGTCATAATAAGCTGATGTTATTGTTCTTTGGTCCTCCAGAAAGTCAACAAGCAAAATGCCTTGATCATCTCCAAAAACTGTTGTCATGACCTCTGCTTTTCACCCATCTGCTTTGCTTTGATTGGACCACTTCCATCTCTTGGTAGTCGCTGCTTTAACTGTAATGTGCCGCCATGACTGTACTGGTAAAGTCATATTTCACCTCCTGTTACAATTTTTGGAAGGAATGTTTCAGGATCTTGATCCCACTTGTTTAAATTTTCCATTGAAAGCTCTGCTTGCCTGCAGTTGATCTGGGTGCAATAGTTTGGGAACACATCCAGTAAAAAGCTTGCTCAACTTTAATTTTTCTGTCAGAATTAAATAAACTGAAACAAATGTCTATGGTATTGGTTACTGTTTGTATTAATTACTGGTCATCTTCAATTAGGACACTAACAAGAATAATACTTTCCTCACAACTGATGTGGATATTGTGCTGGTGCTGGCTTTATGTGCCACATCATTTCCTCCCTTCAGTCTTTTCTAAGCTTTTATTGTGAATTGCGTCAGAGTTTACATGGGAGAACACTGGTTTTGCACTCATTCTATCATGTTTCGTTTCACTGCAATGATTACAATCCCCTCCACGCTTCATCATTCAACAGAACAGTATTTGCTTCTATTTCCTGTTTTATTTTTTTTTTTGGATGTACACAAAAACACTCAGGAATATATAATCATTTAAACATCCCAAGGGCACCACTCTGCAAGCCTGCCTACTGGCTGCCAGCACACAGCCTTTCTCTTTACATGAGTCTAGAGTCCTCAGCTGCTCTGTTTCTCCATGTCATCATCTCTGCCTCCACCTCTGGTGTTGCTGCTTCTCTGGATAGGATTCCATATTCCGCCCATACTCTTCTTCAATGGTTCTAGGGTCCTCTGTTCCTGGAATGTAAGGTTAAATATTCCCTTCTTTATGTTACAAAATTTCTATCTTTATGGTTTTGACAATCGCAGTTAGTCATGATAACAATTATTCACTATTGAATTAATTGTTAAGACTCTTATCCCCATCTCCTTTCTTCTTTCTAGATTGAAAGTATTCAGTGGGGATTGTACCTTCCCCCACATTCTCTGAAACTAAACTCCCTCTTGAAAACTTGTAAGCCAGTTACTTCATGTCTTTATAGACACTGCCTCCCCACCCCCACATTTCAGGTAGCCAATGTCTTAGTTGCCTGTCCCTATCAACCCTGTGTACAGAGGGGATAGGTTTGATCTTTGTTGTAAAGACTCTTTCCCTCTCAGTTGGTATTTTGAGCTACTACATCCATAAGTATAGGTCAAGTTCATCAAATTGTAGCAATTTACAGGTTTCCTTTATCAAATTTCTTTATCTCCCTCTAGTCATGTTCTGATCAAGTCATCGAAGCTAAGTCAAATGTGTACTATCTGCAAGTTTGGGTGTTCTTGTACATCTCCCCTCACTTTACATCAGCTGGATGCTTTACTCTCAGCTCTAGCTCTCCGTGGCTATGTCCTTGTCCATGGGCTTAGGAGACCCCAGGTCTCACTACACTTTGGACCAACTAGCCCTTCCTCTCTTCTCTCTCATTTACAGGTTGGTGGAGTCTATGGAGAGTGGTTGAACTCAGCCTGTGTCTTCATTGCCGCCTTTCCCCCTCTTCCAATCACCAGTAGACCAACGTGGTGGCCAACAAGCTTACATGCCTGCTTGTGTGCTCCCTTTGAGTTTTCTCTCTTCTTAAAACAAGGTATCCATTTGTAAACTAAACTGTTGATTTCTCTGGGGCACTGTCCCCATATACTTTTTGTAAAGCATGAATGATTTCACTATTCCTTCACCCCAAGCTCTACCATAAATTTGATGTTACTGCTTTAATTTTAGCAGAATTCATGTTGCTCTGATTAAGTCTCTCTTCAAATTGATTTCTTATCCTTCTTAGTGCTTCAAACTAGATGGTGCTTAGACATATTATAGAAAGTTAATAAAGGTTTATTTTGGTGCAAAAAAAATAGAAACCCATGCATAGTTTTTTAAAATATGCATTTTCCATTAACTTTTGAAGACCCCTCATATCATATATAGCATACCAGTCACATATAACTAGAGGTCATTAGATTTCAGTCCACGCTTTCTTATACTTACATCTCTAATCAATGAACAGGATTTTATTTTGGACAATGCACAATTATTCCTCATAAATAACAGTTATTTTTACAAAGCTTAAATCTTTTTTTAACTTCCTATGAATATAATTATTTATGCCTTCCAAATACATCCATTTTTCTTAATTTTCTTTCCTTTAATTTGTTTTTTCTCTCCCTCTCTACCCCATACAATAGTCCTATAATAACTTAAATATTTTCTAAGTATCTACATATTTCTTCTTTTATACCCCACATGTTACATTTTAAGTAGAATCTTAAATTAAAAAAAAAAAAAAATTTACCACAACAGATAAGGCACTGGTATGATGGCTTAATTGTGGTAGAAAAGTCAATCCTGAACGAACTTGGTAATCTCGGAATCCTCCAGCTACAGAAAGTGTGGTTAAATTTATGTGTCGGGCATTTAGAATCCAATAGTTGTTTACAGTCATATAAAAATCTGGTAGGGAATAAAAAGAGACATTAAGATATAGTAGTCATTCTCTACAACAATAGGATATAATAATAGTCAATGAAATTTCTGTTTAAGTTATGTGAATGGTCTATAGACAATGTGTTATTCATATTATGCTATTTTAAGTAAAATCTATTTATAGATATTCCTTTCCCCCCATTAGAACAAAGTACAAATACTAAGTGTCACTAAAGGCATCAATAAAGAAAAATGCAAAACGTTACTAGCTTTGACAAATTCATACACAAATAGGTCTCTATATTTTATGGTACTGCTCATTCATGCACCACAAGGCAGCAAAGAGAGAAAATCCTTCAAAATAAAGAAAACAATTTATTATGCTAAAAAGGATCAACCATCCTAATCACAGCTATATCACTGCTTATGAGACTGGGTGATTCTCCACTGTAGCCAACCACCACAACACAAAATATTATTTAAGTTCTTACAATATGATCTACCATGATACCACTGAAATTAGTTTTAAGATTACGCCGCAATGAAAAATCTCAGGATGTTAGCCACTTAATTAAGTTCTCAAAGTATTTTTAGTAGTGTAACAAGTTCTGCAAACAATCTTTTACTTTGGCTATGGAAGATGAAAAATTGTGTTAAAGATAACTGAATGGAGCAAGTATAATAAAGGACTTCTTTTTTTTTTTTTTTTTGATTTTCAAAACTTAATGCATATTTATTCTCACATTTGATCCCATTAAGAGCTTCAAACATTTCAGAGCAACAAAGACCCCCTACCCAAATACTGTGATCTCAGCAGTATTTACTTAGATCACTACCCATTACACCTATTCCTGCATGGCCTAGTACAAAAGTACAAATGGGGAATACATACTATAAATCTAAGTACTTAAAGTTAAAAATCTAGCTAGGAAACTATTAAGTCAAATGTATTTTTCCCACTTACAGTGACAAACATATCACTGAAATAACCTTGAAGCCTAGGTTGAAATGAAGAATTCCAAGACTCCTTGGATTATGACAGGATAGGAAGAACAGATTGTTGGCCTATGGTTGTGTTGTCTTTCTCTTCCCATCTCAATTACATCCTGTACTACCTAGCACCTATGTGCACATCCAAGATCTCTGTGTACCTCCTGTAGGCTGTTATCCTGTCACCTCAACTCAGGCATAAAGTTGAACATACCCTCAGGAGGACAGATCCAGGTAAGAGACACACACAGGCCTGGAAGTAGACTTGGGACATGTGGGCAAGAAACTCTGGGGTCCTGAGAACCTGGATCATGGTACAGAAGTAAAGTCATTGTCTCCAAGTGATGGTGTCCTTGGCCCACATACAAACCTCAACCTATGAAGAAGGGTGGGGCCATCTGGCATTCTAAGTTCAGAGCTAGTACAGGACCCTTATTGTTGTTGTGAAGCGCCATCAAGTTGGTTCCGACTCATAGAGACCCAGAATAGGGTTACCAGGGAGCAGCGGGTGGGTTTGAACTGTGGACCTTGTGGTTCACAGTTGAGTGCTGATCCTACAGCGCCACATCAGTCATCCCCTTTCTCCTATTAATTAACAGTATTTCTACCAAGTGTGTAAGAGGAACCTACTTTTGGAGATAATAGGAGTCTTTGTCTCCTAAGAACAGTAAAAGGGCCTGTTAGTTACAATAAAAGCACCCTGATTCTAGAATCATTTTCAGCATAAATCTTTTAGCAATAAAGATTACTGTTGTTGTTGTTGCTGTTAGATGCTATCAATTCAGTTTTGATTCACAAAGACCCTATGTACAACAAAACAATCACTGATACTGAGCCATTCTTACAAATGCTGCCCATTGTTTCATTCAGTGTGTCAATCTATCTTTGAGAAGAAGAAAGAAAGGATCTTTCTCTTTTCCACTGAACCTCTACTTTACCAAGTATAATGCTCTTCTCTAGGGACTGATCCCTCCTTTATAATGTCCAAAGTATATGAGGTGAAGTCACATCATTCTTGCTTCTAAGGAGAATTCTGGCTACACTTCTTTCAAGACAGATTTGTTCTCTCTATTAGAAGCACATGATATATACAATAATCTTCAGCAACACTGTAATTCAAAGGTGTCAATTCTTTTGTCTTCTTCACCTCATATGCACTGAATAACGTCCAGCTTTCATATGCATATGAGGTGTCTGAAAATACCATGGCTTGGGTCAAGGATACCTCAGTCATCAAAATGACATCTTTGCTTTTTAACAGTTAAGACAGGTAGGTCTTTTGCAGAAGCGGGAGGCAAGACGTCTTTGTTAACACACTTTGCCCAATCCTTCTACAACAGAGACGAAGAGACCTGAAAAGTCAAGTGCAGCACATATAGATGATAATCCTGGGACCCTGAGCAACAAATGAGAGGATAAAGAATTGGATTAAGCACAGACTGGAAATGAAAACAGTGACTAAGAATAATACAGTGGGGCCCATGCTGCATATGAGCATCTTAAGACTCTGCAAGCAACACACATGGGTGAAGAAAAGCCAATAGCATGGAATTCCTATATGGATAGAGACACCGTGTAGAACAGATCTGAAGTAAAACAAGGACAACTATATCCCCAGTAAAGTAGTTAGCCATATCTACCATTTTCTGTCCTCTGCACCAGGTGAATGTCACAACTTGCTCCTACACTACTGGATCAACAAAAGATGGTGCACAATACCTGCTCACCTGGCCTGCAGCTATTCTCCTTTTCCAGCACACAGAGACTCACACCCACATCCCACTTCCATCCACCTGGAAAAAGTAGGCTAGTAGTCCAGTGCTACCAAACTAGTGACCAGATATATCACAACAAATGAAAACAAAAAAATCAGGGTAACATACTAACACAAAATCAACAAATAAATTCAACAACTCCAAAATGTGTCTCAGAGACAAAAGACAACTTGAAATCAAGTAAAAACAGGACAAGGTAGTGCAAGAAAGTAATCAAATTAAAGAATCAGGAAAACAGTAGTAATAGAACTATCAGATAAAAAATTCGAAAGACATATACATAGGGGCTTCCAAGAGCTCAAAGAAACCATAAACAAAATTAAAGAAAGTACAAACACTACCCTACAAGAATTCAGTAAAAACAATATAAGGACAAAATGTCAAAATAAATACACAATTAGAAACTATACAAAAACAGCTTTTAGAAATCTAGTCAATTAACACAAAAATTTGGGGAATAGATAACACATTGGAAAGACAAAAGAACAGAATAGAATCATTTGAAGAACAAATCAGCGAATTACAAAACAAGCCCACGCACACCAATTTGTATTCGGAAAATCAGAATAAAAGAATTAACAAAAATGAAGCAATCCTATGGACACTACAAAGAGGAGCAATTTATGTGCTATGCAAATACCAGAATGTGAAGAGATCAAATAATAATAATAATAAACACCAACAGAATTGTGGAAGATTTGCTGGCAGAAAATTTTTGTAAAAACATTATGAAAGAGCGTTAAGATATATGTCCAAGAAACTCAATGAACCTCATACAGGACAGACCCCAAAAGGTGGTCAACAAGACAAAATCAAACTTTCAAAAACCAAAGATAAAGAATCTTGAGAGCGGTTTGGGAAAAAAAATGTCATCTATAAAGGTTAACCAGTAAGACTAAACTCTGATTTGTTGGCATATGTAAAACCTTGAAAGGAAAAATTACGAACCAAACATTATATATCCATTAAAACTGTCCCTCAAATATGATGGTGAAATTAGGACATTTCCAGATGAACAGAAATGAAGAGAGTTTGTGAAAACTAGGCTAACTGGTGTGGCGCTGTGGGTTAATGCGTCAGACTGTAAGCTGTTTAAACTGCAAGGTCGGAAGTTCAAGCTCACCAGCTGCCCCTCGGAAACCCTATACAGGGTCGCTATGGGTTAGAATCGACTCATTGTCACTTAGCAACAACAACAAAGGCTAACTGTAAGAAATGCTAAAAGGAGATTTTCAGAGAGAGGACCAATACCTGACAACAACCTGAGATGAAGACATATGACATCTACTGAAACCAACTCAGAAAAAGAGTTCTACAAAGTAAAATAAGCTTACAAAACTGAAAATAGACTTCCGGCAAGATGGCAGATTAGGCAGATATACAACATAGACCCTCTATTACAAAAATACGAGAAAACAAATGAAATAGAGATGAAAATTCTGGAACCCTGAACTTCAGAGCCAAGACTAGAGAAGTAGACTGAGTGTTTGCTGGGTGGAGAAGCTAAGAAGGGATGGCAAGAGATGGAGACTGACTCATGAATGGCTGGCCAGAAGCAGCACAACTATCTTGTGAGCAGCTTTGGCAACAGAAAGAGGCCAGTCACACATGGGATGGGAAAAGTACTGATTCCTTCTTTTTCCATGCTTCCCTGGTGATCAGGTGTGGCCATCTCCACCACCTTCATCCACTCACAGCAGACTCTGTCCTCCAGGAATTCTGAGCCACGTGGTTGGGAATTATGACAGTGTGAAGCAGAGGGATGATGTGCCATTTTGGTGTCTGTATTCAGGAGGGATTGACTCTAGACCTATAGAACCCAGTCACCAAACCAGCATTTCACCAGTCACCAAACCAGCATTTCACCAGTCACCGTGCTCCAGCAGCCCTGTGGTCCTAACCAACACTATAACCAACTCTATATCATGGACCTCCAAGAACTATGTCTGGACTGTGGGCACTAAATAAAGATAACACAGGCCTTATAGGAACTCCATCTAAGGCCAGGAACTTTGCTATCACAGCCTTCCCACACCCACCTTGTGAGCTCCTTGGCTTCCAGGAGCGCCCAGAGTTTTCTCCTCACCAGATCCAACAGCTGCACTGTTTTTTGTTTTGTTTTGTTTTTCCTTATGTTGCGCTTCATTGTTTTTGTTTGTTTATTGCTTCTCTTCCTTCTTCATCTCTTTCCATTCCCTTAAATTTTATCTTTTATATTTGCTTTTGTTTTTCCTTCTTTTCTTCTGTTTCTCATTTCCCTTC